CTTCATTATTTTTCTGAAAAAATCCGAGAACCAACAAATTATTGGTGTGGCCTAAACAAGAGAGAAGAACAGAAATTAGTTCAGATGGGTAATGTATGTGTACATTAGACTGATTTATGAATATTCTACTACAAATTCCCAAGTAAATTATGCTTTAAAAGTTTGCAAGATTATATTATATTTATTTACAATCATTCTAAGCATGACCACAAAGTCAAGATTGTACACCACTGAGTCAGCACAAACTCTTTCCTCATGAATTCTAAGACATCTGGTTACCTTTTTATTTCCTAGCTGGAAGAAGAAGAAAAGAAAGCACAGGAGCTGGAAAAGAACAAGAAAAGAGAAGCAGAAATGAAGGCACAGAAGGAAAAAGAAGAAGCAGAGAGAGCAGAAAAGTTGCAGAGAGAGCAGGAAAAACTGAACAGAGAGAAAGCTGAGAAGGCAAGGCAGGAGGAGCTGGCCAGGTGAGTTTTACAGATTCTGATTCTGAACTTAAGGTTATTTTCCTAACTCAAGCTAGTACGTAATTCTAAATACTGAGATTGTATTGAAAGTCAGAGACAGGAAGAATTGGAAGAGAGTGATGTTAAGTCAGGGCTTCCAAAGCCTTCCATGGTCCAGACCCCCAAACATGAAGATGGAACTGGTACAGATAGACTGTCAGGTTTCAAGTCCTGCAATCAAGAAGTGAAAAAAAAAATGGTCGTATGACAAATGACCACTGTTTTTTTTTTTTGGGGGGGGGGGGAACAGAAAATATAAAATTACAAAATTTGAGCTTAGTTCCAACATAAAAAGGGAACTCACCATAAATTTTCAGTTGCTCTCGTCAACCTTTGTCAGATGTGTGATCCACTTGTTGACTCTCCGGAAGTCGGAAATGTGATGACTTTAGGAGTGAATCAAAAGTAGTGGGAAGACGGAATCTCCCACCGTCATGGTTCAGAGAGGGTTGATGGGCCCTGATGTGAACTGCCTCCTTCACACCACTCACAAAGTAGTCCTTCTCCATGTCCAGTGTAACTGTGTGACCATAATCGAGTCCCCAGGTCACACTATCAGTTATGGTGAGTTCCCTTCTTGTGTTGGAACAAAGCTCAAACTTCATGTTTCTACCATCACAGATGAACTTCCACTCTAATATAAAATGTGTAATTTGTCAGGGCTGAGAGAGAGAAACAAGAGAGACTGAGACAGGAGGCAGCGAGGAGAGAGCAGGAGGAACAGGAGAGACAGGACAGGATACAGAAACAGCAGGAGAGGGACAGGGAGTTCGCTAGACTGGAGTCTGACAAGTCCCCGGGTATGTTAACAGTTATCACATTTCCATGCTAAGGCCACACCAATTCAATTTCTTGGTTAACGGATTCGCCCGGTTCATTTTTTCCTGATTTGCAAAAAAAAAAAAAAATTCAGAATCAATTGCAAAATGCTCATATTTTGCCCTGAACAGTTAAAAACAGTCCTTTTCTTCCTAGTTGTTACAGTTATTCTGACTTTCAATGCTGCAGGTATCATTAAAAGTTCAAAATTCATTTCGAACCAGCCTGGTGTGTTGACTTCATGGCTCCTATATATCGTACCATTTTGGGCCATAATAGGATGCCTAGGCCTAGCGCCTGTTTTTATTTTCATTTTTTTTGACCGCCCGCCCGCTCCATTTTTAACAAAAATCCGTTAACCAAGAAATTAAATTGGTGTGGCCTTACTGTGTCTCATGGAAGGGGGTGTCTGTAGTGAATACATGTAGGTCAGACACTTCCCAGGAAAAATGGAGGTATCTGTCAGGCATCAGACCTCGTGACTGCAAACGATCGATTTGACACTGTGTCTGTATGTGTGTCTGTGCTTTTGCAAATTTGCAGTACTCGTAATATAGTACGTGTAGTAACATCTGAAGCCCTTACTTGTACATGTAGTTTATTGACTGTGATGATATGTGACGTAGCAAAGCTTAAGGTCAAATCTGGGCCTCCTTGTGGCGGACTTTGGTACTGCAGCAGAACCTCCAGTTTTTTGTATCTATTAATAGATACAAAGTCAGCCACAAGAGTTCCAGATTTGACCTTGATGATACAAAAAAAACTGGAGGTTCTGCTGCAGTACCAAAGTCAGCCACCAGGAGGCCCAGATTTGGCCTTGGTCATTGTCCTGGACATGTGATGGTCTTGATTTTTGGTGCCTGTTGCATGTAGCCTGTTTTTGTCAGGAATATTTAATTTAATTATTGTGTACAGTTAAAACTTAAGATCCAACACAAAATGTTGTCACACCTAGAGCTTTCGACCAGTCACTCTGGTCTTCAGTAGACCAGATACCTTTGACCCAGACTGTGTGTTGACGTCACACTTCAGAGAGTGACACTACTGAGTGACTGGTCGAAATCTCTAAGTGAGAGAACTTTTTGTGCTGGATCTAAAGTTATAACTTTAAACATGTAACTACCAACACAGATGAACTTTCATGATGACATTTAACTATTTGTAATGTTAAAACTAATTGCTTTTCCAGCAGGACCAAAGACCCCCGTGACTAGCCCTGGCTTGCCTGCTGGTTGGGAGAAGGTGTTAGACCAGCAGACAGGCAGGTATTACTACAAGGACCACAACACAGCCTCCACACACTGGAACTTACCTCAGGTACATGGGTCTTCATGCTTCTTATGTTCATGCCTACATGACATGGCCAGAATTGTGATTGGCATCTACATGTAGGCCTAGGAAGAAAGCTGTTTTTCTGTTTCGGTCCTGAAAAAAAATTAGGGTTGGTAGGTACATGTAGGGATCATCTCTTTTTCTTTCTTTTTTTAGACTTTGGCAATCTCTAGTGATGCAACTAATAAACAGTTCAACAATTTAATAAAACTTGCACGAGGACACTATATTTTCAATCATTATGGTAACATTGGAAAACTGATTGTACAACATTTCATCACTCAGGTATCAGATCATGGAGCTGACAAAATTCTGTCTGAGCAAACTTGAATTTTCTTGTTCAAATGTCCATTTTTTTTTAATGAACACTATGGATGCTCCATTTACATTTCATTGCTATTCATTGACATTGGCAACTGCATATAAAATTCTTAAGTGATTATGTTAAACTTACAATAGATTTACACGAAATTATAATAGTTAGTAACAGGTGGATTCTCTTATTCCTCAGTCCATTCTAAACAGGAGTCCTGGGGCTGTGAGTGGGACATATACTGCTCCTCTTCAAGATGAACCACAAGGTAAATATGTCACCAGACTTCTTGTCTCCCACAGTATTTTTGAATAAGACTTACCTTGAACACATCTGAGAATAGTTTCTTAAGACTTAGTCACTGAATTAAAAGACTATTTAAAGGCAACCGAGCATTTTATTCAGCCTACATTTTGTTGTCGTATAAGTGTGTAAAAAGACTTTATTCAAAGACTTGACATTTCATTATAAATGCTACATTATACAACATATTCAAATACTCCTTCGAAGTAGACAATTGGATTGGTCAGGGAGGGTATTCTGCAGTTAACTTTAAATGATATGTTAGAGGCAGAAAAAAATTTCTAAAGAAGTTCTAAGAAAATGCACAACATTACGTAGTCTGCATAGGCATGTCAGGGCTCGAAATTCATTTTTGGGAATACGAATAGGTGCACTCAGGTGCACCCAACCTTAAAAATTCTGGTGCACAAAAAAAAAGTTTTTGGGTGCACCATATAAAACAAAACCTAATTACAGATCTTACCGCTCCTCTTCTGAGTTTGAAATGGGAGCTAACTTCAAAATCTTAAAACAAGTACTACATCAAAGATTTCATTATTTTTTGACACATAGATGCCAAGAGTATCCTGCATAATATTATACATTAATATGTTAAAAAATGCCTACAAAAATATTTGGGTGCACCAGTGCACCCACAGAAAGAAATTAGGTGCACAGTTCCAAATTTGGGTGCACTAAGATGCACATGCACCCAGTATTTCCAGCCCTGCATGTGTTGAGGGTTTATGTGGTTTTTATCCCTGTAGGAGGAAAAGGCAAGCTGCGCAGGTCCCACTCCTCACCTAACATCGCCCAGATGGTGGCAGAGGAGTTAGAGACAAAGAGGGTTCCTAAAGTGGACAGGAGAGGCAAACCTGAGATTGTCCGCGCCCCGAAGGTCAAACCAGAGTCAGCCGAGGTGCAGGCAGCTCGACTCAGGAACATGCAGCCTGTGTTTGGAGGACAGGTGCACGTTTGTTTGTTTGTTTCGCATAACCGGTAAACGGCTTTAGGCGTAACACACCAGTTTTGTACAATATGTACATGCACAAGCATGGACTGTAAAGTTTGAACCACTCACACCAGGAAGGTCCCCTACTCTTTTTGATAAGTGCGGTGGGCTCTTTAACGTGCGTGGGGTGTGGCTCTCCCCAAACACGGGACCTCAATTTAACATCCTATCCAAGGGACGTCCTTAGCCGTAGCTTGCTTTTGGTACTTGTTTACACCTGAGTGAAGTGAGGAAAGTCGTTTTAAGTGCCTTTTTCCAAGGGCACAAGATTGGTGACATGGGCAGGATTTGAACCCGCGACCTCTTGGGTGTGAGCCAAACATGCTACCGACTTACGTAACGCCACACGCACCACATGTACACACAGACTTTTTACTCTTCACTCTTAGATTGATGGTAAATAATATATGGGCAGCCAGCCTGAATTTTTTTTTGTCAACTCAAATTTGTTTGACGTAATATCATGTCACATTGTTGGCTCGTTCTCTTTGACTAGATGTGAGCCTGAGACTGGATTAAGGGGGAAAGAACTATCAGAAATGACAGTCAGAGACTTCTGGAAGAAAAACTTTGTTAGTATTAGCTTCAACTCAGTGGTCATAAGTAGAAAGATGGATCATACAAATATAATATTAGGTACTTCAGATATAAATAGCAGACCTCATCATTGCTTTCTTCACTTTCCCACTACACTTACTATGACTTGGAATAAAATATAGCCGCAGGAATGGTCTCCCAAGAAAAATTTTGAATTCTTCACCCTCTGATATTTTCAGCATTTTGAGTGACAAATTTTTGGTGGTAGACGTCTAAGCTTAATTTGATATTTCTTTCCAAATTTTTACTTACTGATTTTTGTCAAAGATCATGCCGGATTGGTTGAATTTTTTTCTTGTGTGTGGATATACTTTACATTAGTTTATTAATAACTAAGGCCACACAAATTTAATCTGTTGCTTCTCTGATTTTTTCAGAAAAAATATGAAGCGACAGGGAAAAGTAAAAACAGGCCAAGGCACCCGGAAATGTTACAATATGAGCCATAAAGTGAACATACCAGGCTGATTTATAATTAATACATTTACAATAGATTTTGAACTTTTAATGAAACAAAATTGCATTGTTACATGAAAAACTTTTAAAGGCTAGGAAGAAAAGGACTTTCTTCAACTGTTGGGCTAAAATATGTCTTTCATTGAGCATTTTGCAGTAATTTAAAAAAACTTTTTGTAAACCAGAAAAAAATGGACAGGGCGAATCCGAGAAACAAAAATTTAAATTGGTGTGGCCTAACTTGAATTTCAGATGTTGAGTTAGTCAACTGATATTGTTTCAGGGTCGGGGAATGACAGGATTGAGGAACTTGGGAAACACCTGTTACATGAACTCCATCATACAGAGTCTGTGTGCTGCTACCCTACTGTCTGAGTACTTCCTCAGGGAAACTTACAAGTTTGACATCAACAGGTGGGTTTATGCAGTACTTGTCCTGCTGGAAATTTTTACACAATATTTTAAAGTAATTTGAAGTCGTAATCAGGTCATAGACTTTTTTTGCCCTGCAGTGGCATAGTTACTTCCGCATTTGTTGCGTTTCGCTGCGGTGTGATGCGTTGCACGAGAAACACCCCCAAATGGTACATAGTATTACACAGGCACTATATAGATTGTATACTGTATGTGCAACCCATATACATGTATATATGGGTCTCGCAGGACAAGGTTTAAAGATATATGCCAAGAGAGGGATTCTTTTTTTTATTCCGAAATAAACCAGAAATGGGAAAATCAATTTTAATATGAGAGCTTAATTAACACAAGAAAAGTAGTGACTTTCGCAAGGTATATAACTAGACATACAGACAAAAGAATTGACCTATATGTACGTACAAGACAATAGATGAATCAACAACATAAATACTTGTGCTAAGGTCCAAACATTCTTTGATATATTTACTATATTTGTACACAGTAAGACTTCAGAATGAAGTTGAATTCATCAATCTATAGCATGAAATGTAACAAATTCTGTTGAGCAAGCAGAAAGAAGGTTGAATACTTTCGTGCATGTTAAAAAATTCAAAGAAAGTTACACCTTTTGCCATGTAAAGTTAGATTGATATGACATGTAATGATCCTTGTGTTGTCTGTTAGGGAGAACAAACTGGGCTGTAACGGTGAGATCGCTGAGGAGTTTGCTGCAGTCATCAAAGCACTGTGGTCAGGACAGTATAGGTCCATAGCACCCAGGGACTTCAAGGTAAGACTTAGTAACAGTCATCAAAGTACTCTGGTCTGGTCAGGACAGTACAGGTCCATAGCACCCAGGGACTTCAAGGTAAGACTTAGTAACAGTCATCAAAGTACTCTGGTCTGGTCAGGACAGTACAGGTCCATAGCACCCAGGGACTTCAAGGTAAGACTTAGTAACAGTCATCAAAGTACTCTGGTCTGGTCAGGACAGTACAGGTCCATAGCACCCAGGGACTTCAAGGTAAGACTTAGTAACAGTCATCAAAGTACTCTGGTCTGGTCAGGACAGTACAGGTCCATAGCACCCAGGGACTTCAAGGTAAGACTTAGTAACAGTCATCAAAGTACTCTGGTCTGGTCAGGACAGTACAGGTCCATAGCACCCAGGGACTTCAAGGTAAGACTTAGTAACAGTAACAGTCATCAAAGTACTCTGGTCAGGACAGTACAGGTCCATAGCACCCAGGGACTTCAAGGTAAGACTTAGGAACAGTAACAGTCATCAAAGTACTCTGGTCAGGACAGTACAGGTCCATAGCACCCAGGGACTTCAAGGTAAGACTTAGTAACAGTAACAGTCATCAAAGTACTCTGGTCAGGACAGTACAGGTCCATAGCACCCAGGGACTTCAAGGTAAGTAACAGTAACAGTCATCAAAGTACTCTGGTCAGGACAGTACAGGTCCATAGCACCCAGGGACTTCAAGGTAAGACTTAGTAACAGTAACAGTCATCAAAGTACTCTGGTCAGGACAGTACAGGTCCATAGTACCCAGGGACTTCTTGGTAAGACTTAGTAACAGTCATCAAAGTACTCTGGTCAGGACAGTACAGGTCCATAGCACCCAGGGACTTCAAGGTAAGGCTTAGTAACAGTCATCAAAGTACTCAGGTCAGGACAGTACAGGTCCATAGCACCCAGGGACTTCAAGGTAAGACTTAGTAACAGTAACAGTCGTATACGGCTTGTCGTATACGTCACTATGTACTGCTGCAAATTCACAATACCGGCTTGTATTCCTGTGGTTTAGTAGCATTTATATTTTTGGCCAGAATTTTTTTTTATCCGCACGCTCTACATGTAGTTTGAGGGTCTTCGGAGGATGATTGTCGTGCATAAAATTAAGTTGGTGTGGCCTTATGTGTATTATTCAGCAATTCTGTTCAGTCAGATACTTGAAGCATGTCTGTCCTGCCAAATTTGAATAACCCTATGTTGTATGATCTATCTTCATTTTGTGCACTTGATATACGTCATGATTATATAAACCTTCACCATGATGTCTCTCTGTCCATCCAGTGCTCTGTCGGCAAGTACAACTCCCAGTTTGCCAACTTTAACCAGCAGGACTCACAAGAGTTCTTGTTGTTCCTGATGGACGGACTACATGAAGACATGAACAGGGTGAGTTTTCTTACTGGTCTGTACACTGTCAGGCAGGGCTGTGTACCTATACAGGTCAGGTACAGGTACCATTAACTTTGCTGTTAATGGTAAGTCTTGTAAGTAAGGGAGTAATTCAACATTATATAAATTGCAGGTTTTTTTTCTAAACAAGGGAATAAGGGTGCTGCTCCCTCATAAAATTTAATTCTCAGATTGAACCCTGCACTAAGGCCATGTTGATTTGATTACATGTATATGGATGACATCCTCTGGGAACCCCAAAACCGGTGCAGGCGTGTGATTAAAAAGTGACTACTTACACTCCATTCAGTCTTCGTTGTAAAAACAATAGAACAATGCATTGTAGCATTACAAACTGTGTTACTCTCATTAAAAAAATCCCCCGTCGGTTGCTTCACTCCCTTGCCATGCTTGCAATATGCTCCCTCATGCTAAACTTTTCTAGAAAAACCCCTGAATTGTACATCTCAGAGGTTTGGTGTCAGATTTCTTGTATAGTGAATTAGTGATCAGTGTGCATTGCAGCTTTGTTGAAGTGTGTGATAATTTCTGTGCTGCCCCTTGCAGGTGAAGAAGCGTGAGTACATACAGGAGGAGGACCAGCCCCAGCTGCCTGACGTCACGCTGGCTGAGAGAGCCTGGCAGAACCACAAAAGACTCAACCAGTCCATCATTGTAGAGCTGTTCCAGGTACGAATTCCAGCTATGATACTGGTTTATTTCTTTCAGACTGTACGGTACAGAGTAGCAGGGTCCCCGTAGGACCCTGAATTGATCTGCCGCATTACACAGGTTATTAAAAACAGTTGGCGCAGATATTAAAAGCAATTATTAAAAACAGTTAAAAACAGCAATTATTGAAAGTATTTACAATAGGCTGCGACCGTTGTCAAACGAATACCATGTCATGACAGATTGTTGTTTTTGTTCAGTAGTCTTAGGTAAGGTATGCTACTGTTCCTAAATCTTTCGGTTCTAGTTCTGATTGTGTACAGATCGTCACAATGACAGTCTTGTGTGTCTGTCACTTGTGTGCCCACGGGAGGGGGGGAGCAGGTTTCTGAAGAACGAACTGTTCAACAATTTCTTCCCGAAGTGGAGGCACAGCTGTTCAGCCAGGAGACTGTACTACTCACCCTCCTGTGTGTTTGAGTGGTTCCCGCACCGGGAATTGAACCGGGGCCGTGTGGGTGAATTAGCCACAAACCACATTGTTACATTTTTCCAGGGCCAGTTCAAGTCGACTTTACAGTGCCTGCGGTGCAACAACACGTCCACCACGTTTGAGGCCTTCATGTACCTGTCCCTGCCCATACCATCATCAGGGAGGTGTAAACTACAGGTAGGTACACATCAACAAGCATCTAGAAAAAAACAACCATAGACGAACATTTAAAAACAGACTGTAGAGGACAATCTATAAAAATGTCTATAAAATGACTAGTGGACATTGAATATGATTCAGACATTGCTGAACAAAGGCCAGTTGGGAGAACATTAAGACGTAGACATAGTTACTGAAAAACAACATCGAAACAACCCAAGATGGACATTTTATATTCCATAGTCTCTTCACACGTCAGGTAGGGACACCCCTAGGAGACAGTCCTTTGTTTAGCACAATTAGCGTCTGTCCATTAATTGCGTCCCACCCTCTAAATTGCCTTGGCTGTTTGTATAGTACTTGCGAGTTTTCACAGTTTTTTTCTAAAGTCATTCTGACAGACACTTTGTGGACAGTGAAAAGCACAACAAGCAAGTCCTCTCCCCAAAAAACCTGTAAAGTCCCAGGAAAGACATTCTTAGAAATGTTTGAAAAATGACCGCTACGGTCCGCTAGCTTTTTCATAGACATTTTCGGCATACTGTGAACACTTTGATCTATAACTCTGGAAATGTACTTTTATTTATTTTGCATAATAATAATTACTATTTAATATGTGCTGTAGTTTTCATGACACTGTATTTTAAAATGTGTGTGCCCTGGGATATCTGAAAAACAGATGACATTGTGCAGCTCTGAGGTATACATGTACCTGGTGAAATAAATAAACTTGAAATTTGAACACTTCAATCTGCGTTTAGAGTTAGGTTGCCAGCTAGCAGCATCAGAATGGCTACATTTTGGGTACTAGTCAGTTATAACATGATACAACAACTCTATACAGTGTTAATGACCTGCCTGGAGGTGTATATGACATCATAATACATGGTCGGTTACAGTAACCACCAAAATTAATTAATGATGTTTCCTCTGTTCCATTAGGATTGTGTTCAGACGTTCACCAAGTCTGAGAAGGTGTCAGGGAGTGACAAGTGGTACTGTTCCCGCTGTAAGACTCACAGGGAGGCTGTGAAGAAGATAGAGATCTGGAAACTCCCACCGTTCTTGCTCATACACCTGAAGAGGTACGCAGCTGTGTGGACCTGTCTTTGGGTTAAGGTGTGGGGTCGTGTGGCGCAGTCAGCAGCGCGTTCGGCTCACACCCAAGAGGTCGCGGGTTCGAATCCTGCCCATGTCACCGATCTTGTGCCCTAAGGCTTAGGAAAGGCACTTTACATGACTTTCCTCACTTCACTCACGTGTAAATGAGTACCTAGCTTCAGTTAGGAATGTCCCTTGGATAAGACATTAAATGGAGGTCCCGTGTTTGGGAAGAGCCACACCCCACGCACGTTAAAGAACCCACCGCACTTATCGAAAAGAGTAGGGGACCTTTCCGGTGTGAGTGGTTCAAACCTTACAGTCCAGTCTTACGCATCTTGTACATGTACGTACATGTACAAAACTGGTGTGTTACGCCTAAAGGCCGTTTACCGGTTATGCAAAACAAACAAACAAAAGGTAGCAAACATCAACTCGCTGATGATTCTGCTACACTGAATTGAACTGTAGAATTTGGACTATCTCACACCGGGACATGCCCCTACTCTTTTTTGAAAGGTGGGATGGGTTCTTTAACGTGCATGGGGTGTGGCTCTCCCAAGGGACCTCCATTTAACGTCCTATCCTAGCATATAGGGAGGTCCCTATAACCAAAGCTAGGTACTCAGTGAAGTAAGGAAAGTCGTGTAGATTAAAGGGCCTTACCTAGTAAGTGCACAATATCAAGGCATGTTGGTGGATTCGAACCCAGGACCTATGGGTCACGGCCTACAAGTTGTCACTGATTCTCTCCTACAGTCTGCTTTTTGTATCATTTGGTCCATTGAGACATTGTATATTTCAGAGTCATGTGTGTTGAATGTGAGTTGTGTATATTGTTCTAACAGGTTTAAGTATGAGGGAGTGTGGAGACAGAAGTTAAACACCAATGTGGACTTCCCTCTCAGCAGTTTTGACATGAGGCCCTTTATTGTAGGACCCAAACCACAGCCACACTACAAACTGTTCGCTGTGTCGGTAAGTTGTCAATTAACAAAATTGTGTTTCACAATAACCAACACTGAAAATTGCTGTACCCATGTATTATGTTCAATCATCGTCAAGATTGACCGTAGTCGAGTTTCTGAAGTTTTTGTGTAGCGGTAAACACCAAGTAGTGTTCCATGCCTACACTAGTCAAGTGTAGTGAACACATGGTGCAAACTGCAAACCTTAATAAGGATTTTTGCCCCCAAGCTCACATATAAGGACCCATGCATGGCGGCTGACATATTTTGTCAGAAGAGGTCAGCATAAAGAATGTACTGTGTATCATGTATCATGTTTTATTTAAATCATTCAGGTGATAAATTCTAAACATAATGTGCCTTGTTGACTGTTTACAGAACCACTATGGCACCATGGAGGGAGGACACTGTAAGTTAACTTTAATTTACATCTGTTCATTATCAAACTGACTTGTATGAACAGGGCTTGAAATCCTTTTTTTCTGCATACCTGCACATTGAAAATTACCTGCACCAGACAAATTTTACCTCCTAGTAGGGTATAGATCATACTAAAACCTATAATTCAAAAACCATTTACACCAGTCCTACATTGTACATTATTTCTTGCTTGCAAAGGATGGTATCATCTTTTTCTTTATACATCTGTCGGTAATAGTCAATGCAGCAGCTAATAAAAATCCACATACACCTACATGATATACAAATCAGTACACGTGCAGGTATACATGTACCTAGTGCACAGCTCCAATTTACCTGCACGAAGGTTTTATTTTAGTATTTCGAGCCCTGCACATGTATAATCATTATATTTTCCATTACATTCTTTGTGTAATGACGATTCTGTGCAGTTTTCTCCTGATTTCCACTAGTGTTGAATGTCCATATTTGTTAAGACCAGACAGTGATGTTGTGTTCTCCTGTCCTCTCCAGACACAGCCTTCTGCAGGAACACCAGTAACAGGAAATGGTACAAGTTTGACGACCATGAAGTCAACGAGTTATCCACCTCAAGTGTCCAGGTGTGTAGTATTATTAAGCTTAGGGTAGTTTTGAATTGAAAATACAAATTAAGTCCTTACATTCTGCAAGTTTGTGTATAAAAGAGTGGTCAAGACAAAGAACTAACCAGCTGGCCAGACTGGCAGAGGGTGCATGTATATAATGTAATAAGTACATGTATGTGGGGATGTGTCTGTGTGTACATGTAGTGTCATTTGTCTGCTAAATATGTTTACCAAAGGAAAACATTAATTTTTTTTTGCTCAGTTTCCTCTTCTTGTTCAAACACTAACCTCTGACCAAGCCAATGACCAGGCTGATTTGTTGACGTCTGTCACCATGGTAACTGGTGTTGGGTTACAAAATGTTGCAATCTTATAGTAGGAGGGATTTATATTTACTCCTGTCTGACAGTATACAATGTACAATATATAAAATGTATTTGAGTAAGAATTAACAGAACAGACCATGTGCAAAGGTAAACATTATGCATTATTTTGCTTTGCAAATGTTACCTTTCTTGTTAAGCATTATTCTAGTATGTAACTTTGACTATCAAAAGATAAAGGCAAACCTGCTACATATGCATGTACATACAAATGTCTGACATGTTGTTGTGTGTCCTGGTCCAGTCTTCTGCTGCCTACATCCTGTTCTACAGTGCAATGGAGCTCCAGCCCCCCAACCAGACATCCTTCTGAACATACATTCTTACAGGCACCCAAAGTGATTCCAGGGCCGTAAAAATGGACTTGTAAAGTCAATTTCCTGGTAATTTGTAAGTGTAAAAAAACCCTATTACATAGCATACTGATATCTGTAAGGCAGAAATGCAATGTCTTTGATGGAAAACGGTTACCGTATCTTGCTTTGTATCATACATGTAGGCTTGTTCTAGCTATTTATATTATTGGTGGCACCATAAATAAATAAAGGGACTCACCACAAAGCTTGTTTGGGGCTATTTCAACACTTCAGTATGAAAATGATGACGGAAATGTGTTAAGAAATGGCTGTACTGTAAATCATATATTTTGCAGTAACTGTAGCAAAATTTTGCTGTCAGTGGGAAAAATTGGCATGTTTGTGGAATTATATGTTTGCGATGGCAGCAGGTAGAAGAACGTTTGTGAATTATTAATAAATTTTGTTCACTCTAATGATACATGCTTGCTGTACATAAGTGACCACAAAAACTGCAAAAGTGCCACAAATGTAAAGTGATTTCCTCCTCCAGAATTTTTTGCCGGCCTGAAATTGCATTGGATGTCTTTTAAGGTGTGTTATTGGCAGGACTTCATGGAATCTACCATGTGGAGACAAAGTGACAGTATAAATAGTCTGATCATAATCCAGGTGTTACTGTAACACATAGTTTTACTTGCCAATGGGTTCATTAACAGGAACCTATGACTAAAATATCTCAAACCGTCTGTCTGATGTCACAAGTAACAACTAATTTTTCTATGGCTGCACAGGGGGCAAGTATGTACTCAGTCTGTTATTTAGCACTGAATGGCAGCCACTACAGGCCTTAATTGTGCTTCAGCCTATTGTAAACAGTTGTAAAATACTAAACTCCTAGCTTAAAATACTTTTGAGCAAGCTAAGCCAAACCAAAGGCTGTTGCAGGACCTAGAGGTTGTTGCAAGGCCCTAGATTTTGCATGTAATATAATTATTTAACCAGTTAACATTAAGTCACTGTAAAGTTTAACTAACAGTAACATCAACACAAGCCTATAAACATTGTGTCATTTCTGTCAGAAATATGAATCTCTAGATAAGTTCAGTTTTGTCAAATTTAATGTCCTGTTGGGGCCAAGGAGGGCCATTTTCATAATCTATCATGTTCCATATGTTTTTAAGTCTTGTCCAAAATAGACTATCTCTTGGTTTCTGTAGCTCCAACAAGTTCTAACAAGTTATCTTTTACTTCAAGAAAATATGTAACATTGTACATTAAATGTATATAATCTAGAAGAAAATGACATCTTGAACAGAAGTCCATTATTGTAAGAAGTTATCAATCTAAAAGGTACAAATTGTAGTATCCAAGATTGTCCTACACGAGCATGCAGACATGTTGTACATGTGCCTGGGAACCAGCAGCACAGCAATAATTAAATTTAAAATGTGTAGAAAGACCGTAACTATAACAAAGTTAGTTTTCAGCATGTACCTGACTAGTGCACATGCATGCCAGCAATGCTTACTGTTCTTGGGCATTTTTGCTAACTATAGGATTCCAGGTACAATTTTATGAAGGAACATCTTTATTCTGATCCGAATCTTACAAATCATCCTTCTACTTCTGGTACAATCTTTATATCTGCTGCCAGTTTAAAGTCTGTCATGAATCAATGTCACGGAGAGCGTGGCTTGTGGTTCAGAGCTTGGTGCCACAGCTCGTAAATAATGTTAATTTGAGAAGTAAACATTATGAATAAACATTATGACTACACAATTACATACAGTTTTAAGTCTAAATGTTTTCTGTTACAATGAATTTGCTTCTCAAAAGAACATTTTTACGAGCATGGTGCCAGGTTCTGAATCAGACATCATGTTCACTGTGACATCAAAATTAAAATTACATTGTATCTGACTGCTGAAATCAAGAACTGGAAGGATGATTAATTTTGCAAGATCTGTTGTTCCCTAACATTTTTGTCCAAATGTCTTTGTTCATTGATTAATATTGTACACATCTGGCTATTTTCAGGAACTGTAATTTACAGTAACTGTAAGTTGTATTCAGTGTTATATGGCCTTTAAGCTACATGTATGTACTATAACATGTACATTTGTAACAAATTAAATGTACATTGTAGGCTTGTCAGCAAACTTTTCTCACTCACAAGATTAAATCAATGCAATGAAAGACCTTTACTGTACGTTTATTCTCTTACATGTACAAGCTATGCAGGTCATGTATCAAGCAAAAGTAAATTTTGACATATATCTTTAAGTTACTATATTTACATGTATGTACACAGACCAATGTGAACTACAATCATGTACTATGTACATGTTCATGTTCAGCTACAGTTACTACAGTACTGTTACAGTTACTGTACTTTTAATAGAGGCTGTACAAGCAACCTCCATTCCATAGGTCAGGCTTAAGGTTCTTTGTGATTTTGCAATCAATTGTCAGACTCACTTAGATTTGTGTAATTTATTTTTTTTTATTATTTATACTATTTACTTTCCATATGACAATTTTTGTGTGGAAAACTGCATCACAAAGCAAAATCACACAGCATCAAGTTACACATATTCAACAGCACAGTTGAGAGATGTACATATAAACAACTTCTCATTTTGTTTTTTATTATTATCATCATGCTGTCAGACACTTGATTCCAACACTACATCCTGTCCCACCAGACACAGCACAAGACAATTATTATTAATAGTAGTAATAAACGATCACTCACTCACTCACTATCCGGTTTATCGTCTGTTGTTCCGCATCATCCGAGGGTTAGACATGCTTGCACTGTAGAACTGGGGCTTGTATATACATGTAATAGCAACAGACCTTGCTCTTATTTTTTTACGCATCCCCAAATCAAGAAGAGCAAAACGGCTTGTACAATGTAAATGAAGGCTGGTTGAAAAAAGACGACGACTGTGTCTGTCTCTTGAACAGTAATCCTAACACACATCAGACCTTCTAGGTCCCCCCCATCCTGAGAGACAAGGCCAGGGACTCCATGTGTGGGAAGGACCCTCTACGGGACATGTTGATGAAGAATGATCCCAGGAAATCATTGCATTTCTTGAAGTCATCTTCAATTGTTTCCAGTGATTCAAGGCTGTGGATATACAAAATCGAGAAAGCAGTGTAAAGGACCTCAAATATTATGGAAGTGGCTTACAATATCATATTATGTCATGTATGTACATTAAATCCACTTGAAGAAAAATCAAAGCATGCAACATGTTACCAGCATTTGTCACACCTACTATGATGTTTTCTTGTCCAATAATGATTCTGATGTTGAACACTTAAAAGAAAGTCCTTAAAAATCTGGACCTCATCTTATGCTAAATGATGGAAACACATATCTCATATGCAAAACAGGAAACAACAAATTTCAAAAAAATATTTAATCATTAATCATGAATTCCATCTACATGAAGTATTGTCAATGATGTTAATTAATGTTACAATTAATAATACATCAAGATGGGATTCATTTTGGTATAGTTGTGTATTACAATTGGTAGAACTCAGTTTCCCTCATAATTTCATCAGTTTCTATGCATGTACATGCATTATGTATTTATCTACAGTATGTCAGCCATAGCTGGTGAAGAAAAGCCTATCACATGTAAAATGATATAATGTTTACCTGATATTGTGAAGACCACGGCCCCACAGGGTCTGGAAACTCACCGCCATGTTCAACATTCTCCTGACAGCCATCTTTAACAACCCGGCCTAAACATACAAGATAATAAAAGATGAGAACAGATGGGAGAAAATTCATTCAATATACTAATCTGTAAATGAAGAACAATATGCTAATGTATGAAATATTGTTTACATTAAAAGTATTGCCTTGTGTTTGATTTTACGGTTACTGTAACATTTACAGTAACTGTTATATTTCATTTCCTGTAAATCACTTTTAATTTATATTTGCGGTACTTTATTTTGCAGTTTTGCGTACCGCGAGTTTATCGTTTACCACTAACAAATAATTCACCGACTTTCATTCTTCTGCACCTGCCACAGCCGCTTATACCATATAGTTCTGCAAACGTGTCCATTTAAATTTTTCTCAGACCGCAAAATTTTGCTAGTGAGACAGTCACTATAAAGTGATTTACAGTAATACAGTTTGTGACGTTTACAATGCATAATTTTTTATACATACAAATGTAGCTGTTCCACCACAAACACCATTACACTTAGTCTACTAAAAAATCAAGAAACAATTATTGAACAAAGGGGAGGTTGTAATCACCTTCTTGTGTAACATGCACCTCTGGTACAGCTTAGTCAGGAAGGCTGTGTGTGCCTCGATCACTCGACTCAAGTCACAAGCCTCAGATAATTCCTTCTGGAACTCCAGAGTTGTTGTGTAGAGGATCTGTTGGAAGCAAGAATAATCAGTGAGGAATGGCACATGGTTCAAATGGCTGCTGACTATTTGAGTATTGATCTAGCAGGCATTTAATAGTCACTTACTATAATTATGACAGTTGATCATAATACTAGTAGTAAGACACTATTTCCTTTGTTTGGCATGCACCAGTCAATTCTGGAATTACATGTACATGACTATTCCAGATAGCTTAGGCCTAGGAAAAAATGTTGTGTTAACCTGTTTCAGTGCTGAAAAACTTAGGGTCAGTATCTTTTTAGACTTTGCCGATCTCTAATGATCCAACTTACTTGTATACAACAATACAGTTCAACAAAGTGAAACTTGCATGAGGACACATCTTTTCAATGTCAATATTGGAAAACCGATTGTAAAACGTTTCATCACTCAGGTGTCAGATCAGGGAGCTGGGAAATATACAGGGTGTAGGAAATTTATGTCCCTTGCAGGGTCCACAAAAAAAAGGACTAGGGTCGGCACCTTTTTCTAGGGTTGGTCGGGAAACAGGAAACACAACATTTTTTTTCCCTATTCCTTATTATAGATTATCAAAGATAAGGTATTACTAAGTAACTCTGACCCTGGTCATGAAGTAGCTGTGCAGAGCGTTGATGAAGTGTAGAAGTCTCAGTCTCAGGAGGTGCATCCTGTGTTCCTTCTGTCTGGCAGGGACATCCTCTGTCTCCGCTGGTCCCTCAGGAACAGTCTGAACAGCCGAGCTGCTCAGGTCTGTACAAGGTACAGTCATGTCAACAGCATGGCATGTTTGGACAGACAGCCATTGCTATCAATTGTAAATACAAATGAAAGGTAAACTGTTTTTGGCAAACAATTTTGGTAAAGATAATTACAAGTTTTAAATCTACAATCAGAAACAGTAACCTTGTTTACTACACAATATATATGGGGACCTCACAGGATAACCATTTTCGAACTTGAACCTTGTTTCAATAACTGCTACTTACCTACCAAATATCATTAAGATCCATTCACAGCTTCTCGAGTTATGTTGAACACATACGATTTCAACAAATGCATACAAAGCCCGCTGCAGTACCACTGTAAAAAGGCAGGTGGACCATTTTTTAACTTAACCTTCATTTCCACCACAGCTACTGACATACCAAATATCACAAAGATCCAGCCACAGCTTCTCAAGTTAAGACATTGACCTACATACAGAACCACACCTACAAGCCGCTCCACCAGACCCAAACCTAAAACATACCCTTCTAAAGAAGGCAATAATATAACAATGTTATAGTTTGTCTACGGTACTGACCTGCAAACTTGAGTTCATCCAGACAGTACTTTGCCCATTTGAGCTGCAGTAGGAACTGGAAGACTTGGTTGTACACATGTTGACAGGCTGAAGTGATGACAATGTCTACAGGCCAGGGAACTCGATAGCTCAGGGTCAGACCTTGTAGCTGCTGGATGGGCTGACTTTCCTCCATCTGTGTTGCCTCCACTGTCACAGATAATCTGTAATCATACATACAACGTACCTCCAATTTAGCAAGGCCTGGTGGCTGGAAATACTTTTTTTGCATACCTGCACTGGTGCAGGCTACTTTCAAAATTATCTGCACAAGACAATTTTTAACTGCACCACTCAACTCAGAATTTATGAAGTATTAATGGATCTTACTAAAACCTGTTAAGAACTATCAACTTTATGTCTTTTGTACTTCCCAGTTGGTAATGGTCAATGCAGCAAATAAAAATCTACATACACCTACACTTGTACAATATAATTCACAAAGAATGGCTACAATTCAGTAAGGCCACACTGACTTGACTTTATGGGTGACATCCTCCGAGTCTGAAGATCCCAAAACTAGTGTGGGCGGGCGAATGAAAAAAAAATACCAGCCAAAATGCTGCTTAACCACAGGAATACAAAGCTAGGATTGTGAATTTTCAGGTAGTACATAGTAACTGTTACTTTCACGACAAGCCGTAACATGCTGGCCTTTTGCGGCATTCATGCGGCACTGTACTGAGTTCTTGAGTTCCGTGGAGCTTCAGCAGCCTGGGTGTCATCCTCTGTAGTTACCGCCGGCTCCTTCTTGTCGCTAGCGAAATTGTACAATGGACTATGGAGGATGGTACCCAGGCCAGAGCCTCCTCGGAAGTGATTTTTTTAGGTAAAACAGGTAAATAAATCAATGTGCGGGCAGATGTCATCCGTGAAACTGAATTAGTATGGCCTGATACAAACCTGTCTGCGTCCTGACTGTAATGCTGCTGTATGGCACTATGCAGCTGGGAGTTTAACATGGACATCCTTACTACAAACCTGTCTGCGTCCTGACTGTAATGTTGCTGTACAGCGCTGTGCAGCTGGGAGTTTAACATGGAAACATCCTTACTACAAACCTGTCTGCGTCCTGACTGTAATGCTGCTGGAGTGCTGTGCAGCGCTGTGCAGCTGGGAGTTTAACATGGAAACATCCTTACTACAAACCTGTCAGCATCCTGACTGTAATGCTGCTGTACAGCGCTGTGCAGCTGGGAGTTCAACATGGAAACATCCTGCCACTCCTCACCACCACTCAGCTGGGCAAATAAAGGTGTGCAGAAGTTGTGCATGGCATCACCAGCCTCCATCAGGAAAAAATTCTGTAAACATAGAAAGTAGCAATGAGTTATAGATTATACATTTACTGAGTATGTTAGCAACAAATGACCATAATTCTACAGAATTTTCTGGAAAACTCTGAGTGGAAAGGGATGGTACATGATACTTCAGGGTGGGGATGGTCTTTTAGCACCAATGAAAGGGGTGGTACATGAGAGGTCAGGGGGATGGTCTTTCAGCACCAAGGAAAGGGATGGTACATGATAGTTCAGGGTGGGGATGGTCTCTCAGCACCAAGGAAAGGGATGGTACATGGTAGTTCAGGGTGGGGATGGTCTTTCAGCACCAAGAAAGGGGTGGTACATGATAGTTTAGGGTGGGGATAGTCTTTCAGCACCAAGGGAAGGGGTGGTACATAATAGTTTAGGGTGGGGATAGTCTTTCAGCACCAAGAAAGGGGTGGTACATGATAGTTAAGGATGGGGATGGTCTTTCAGCACCAAGGGAAGGGATGGTACATGATAGTTCAGGGTGGGGATGGTCTTTCAGCACCAAGAAAGGGGTGGTACATGATAGCACCAAGGAAAGGGATGGTACATGATAGTTCAGGGTGGGGATGGTCTTTCAGCACCAAGAAAGGGGTGGTACATGATAGCACCAAGGGAAGGGGCGGTACATGATAGTTCAGGGTGGGGATGGTCATTCAACACCAAGGAAAGGGATGGTACATGATAGTTCAGGGTGGGGATGGTCTTTCAGCACCAAGGAAAGAGATGGTACATGATAGTTCAGGGCAGGGATGGTCTTTCAGCACCAAGAAAGGGGTGGTACATGATAGTTTAGGGTGGGGATGGTCTTTCAGCATCAAGGAAAGGGATGGTACATGATAGTTCAGGGTGGGGATGGTCATTCAGCACCAAGAAAGGGGTGGTACATGATAGTACCAAGGAAAGGGATGGTACATGATAGTTCAGGGCGGGGATGGTCATTCAGCACCAAGAAAAGGGGTGGTACATGATAGTTTAGGGTGGGGATGGTCTTTCAGCACCAAGGAAAGGGATGGTACATGATAGTTCAGGGTGGGGATGGTCTTTCACCACCAAGAAAAGGGATGGTACATGATAGTTCAGGGTGGGGATGGTCTTTCAGCACCAAGGAAAGGGATGGCAAATGATAGTTCAGGGTGGGGATGGTCTTTCACCACCAAGAAAAGGGATGGTACATGATACTTCAGGGTGGGGATGGTCTTTCAGCACCAAGGAAAGGGATGGCAAATGATAGTTCAGGGTGGGGATGGTCTTTCAGCACCAAGAAAAGGGATGGTACATGATAGTTCAGGGTGGGGATGGTCATTTAGCACCAAGGAAAGGGATGGTACATGATAGTTCAGGGTGGGGATGGTCTTTCACCACCAAGAAAAGGGATGGTACATGATAGTTCAGGGTGGGGATAGTCTTTCAGCACCAAGGAAAGGGATGGTACATGATAGCTCAGGGTGGGGGATGATCTTTTAGCACCAAGAAAAGGGATGGTACATGATAGTTGAAAGGCATCCAATGCGTTTTCCGGGCAGCAAAGCTGGAAATATTCTTAATAAGGCAATATTTGTGATATTGACACATACTGCTTCACATTAGCACATTTAAATCAGCAATTTACACTTTGTGCATTGAAAACTGCAGAAGAAACAAGCCCCAAGAGTCCTTTATTTCCTGGGTGGTACCCTAAAACTCAGCGCAGGGCCCTTCTAGTAACTGTTTTCCGTCAGAATTTGGGGAAATTTTTGCTCCATGACGGTCAATATACACTGGGATAGTATGGTTTCAACTCAGTATGTAGATACATGACTAGAATATTGGGTCTGAAAAATCGGGTTTCCAAACCCTAAAAACTGCACTGGATGCCTTTAAGGTGGGAATATAACAGTTGGCTAGTGGGTTCTGACAGGTTTATCACATTTGTTTGATCTTACATGCATGGCCTGCAGGTAGTCTCCCAGTTGATACTCTGTTTTTAAGAGTTCCACCAGCAGTCTGCTGACAGTGTTGCACCTCTGTAAGATGTGAGGATACAGGCACCTCTGTAGGGCCAACTGGACAGGCTGGCCTCCTTCTACAGGCACTACAGGTCTGTATGTAAGGGGTCAAACATGTAGCTGTGTCAATAATAAGGCCACAACAAGTAATTTTTATGGATGACATCAGCGTGCGCATTCATTTTTGCCTGATTTAAAAAAAAACATGGAAGTTTGTCTCCCTCTGACAGTGGTCAACATGCTTAAAATGGATGTAAAATACATGTAAATATGAACTTCAAGAGAGGAGACAAGACAAGCCTCTGATTTAATGTTTTGTCTTTACTTTGATGCAGTGATGTATTACATTCCTTTTATATGTGATGTTCCCACTGAATTAAAACCATGATCTAAAACTTTATTTGTTAGTGACAAATGGATGTTGTAATAGTTGGCAGTAAACTTAGCACTAACAATATGTCAAATTTGAGCATGTAAGAATCCTGTTTTTTGGGCCTGCCTTTTTTTTTTTCATTTTTGGCACCTCCACTTCCTTAATGGCACTTATTTGTAATGAAGTAGGATTGATTCAACTTACTTTGTAAAGAAATGACCAGAAAATTTACTTCTTGTATCAACCTAATGTTACATGATTAAAGTAGAAAAGTAACATTTGCAATGCAAATGCATATTAATGTCTACCTTCACATATGGTCTGCTCAGTTAATTCTTAACTCAAACACATTCACATAATATGGTTACTGGAGTCTAAATCCCTCCTTCTATGAAATTGCAACATTATGTAACCCAACACCAGTTACATGTACAATGTACCATGGTGACAGATGTCAACAAATCAGGTCATTGGTCAGAGGTCAGTGTTTGGAGAAGAAGAAGAAACTAAGCAAAAACATATTAACTAAAATTCATACCTTCCTCCATCTAGCTCTGTTTCTGCAGACTTTAACACAATGGCCTGTACAAAGTTCTTCTGTAGCAGGCTGTCCTTCACAGCTGTGTCCAGTACTCTGTGTAACATGGTGTTAGACACCAGGTCTGTGTGTACTGGGGGTGAGGGACTCAGTCCTGGTCCTGTGTGGTCTACATCATCAGTCACATCCAGAAACACCTTCAGGGACTGTACAAACTCTTCATACAGGGGCACTGGGAACTCTGCAAGGGATAAATAAATGAAATAAATGTACTGCATGGACTTTGGGCCACAACAAGTTGATTCTGCATTTTCAATTTTTTTCAGGATGCTGAAGAAGGGTGATGCAATTTTTCTCACTCAAAATGGCTGGAAAATAATCAACAGCCCCATGCTGTTTTGATTAATTCTGGACTTCCAGTTTAATTCTGGACTAATTCCCATATCTCAGCAACCTTACATGTACAAGTTGTAGATGTGCTAAATATTATTAACTACAGGTAAAAATGATGTAAGAAATAAGTTTTTACTGTAGCAGCCACCGAGGACCCATAGGAGATTAACCCAATTCTGCAGAATTCTGGCTTAAGTTTCCAGAATTCTGACTCCAGTTCCCAGAATTCTACAGAATTCTGCAGAATTGGGCTAATCCTGCTTTGTATTTCTTAGATCATTTTTACCTATAGTATATCATATTAGCCAATCTAGATGTAACATTGCTGAGATACATGTATGGGAATAAGTTCTGAATCAAACTGGCAGTCCGGATTTAAACTGAAGGCTGTAAACTTACTCCGTAATTTATGTAGTAGAGTTTGAATATTGTTTACATGCCGAAGTCTTTGCATCAACATCTCAGGAAGCGAAATAATACATAGTTTACTGTCTTTAGGAAAACAGTCTAAACATAGTTGTTCACAACATGGTAAAGTTGAATCCTCAGAAATAGTGCAAAACAACATCTCATTGACCACTGACCGACTCTCCCGCCCATCTTGCCCAGTGCCTTGAGTAGTTCCATGGACTTCCCTGCCAGAATGATCTCCTTAAACACTGACTTCAGGAACACTGGGATGTACTCTTCTTCATGCTGCTCTCTGGCCATGGGCGGGAACAATTGGGTGGGAAACCCTTAGTATGGGATTAACCAATTACACTTAGTCTAGTAGAGGGATAAAACTCTGAGTACTCTAGCAGACAATTGAGAAAACAGCAGATCTCTTTGGATTAGGCATTGTTCTCCCAAATTCTGTTCTCCCAGATCTCTTGCAGTCTCTTACAAGTCTCTTTTTATGGGTTCACCACACCACGAAGTGGTGGTGAACCCATATTGCTTTTTCTGATGTTTCTTCTCCTCCTCCTTCTTCTCCTGCCATTTTTTAAATGGATTCAGCTTCTTCATTTTAGGGCCTAAGGTCCTGAAATTTGGTATGGAGGTACAGTGGGCAAATACCCCTAGGCGTTTTTAAATTTTTGTGATACAGGCTTTTAGAATGGTTTTATTTGAGTTTTTTGCCTGTGTTATATCAAATGTATTACTGTGTTAGTGTGCCGTGTTTACCATGAGTCATCACAATGGAATGCAGGGCATCAACCAATAGGCATGCAGCTTTCCTCTATACTTCTTGCTGATTGGCTGTTGGGATTTAACTTGATTAACACCTGCACAGAGCATTTCCACCTGCACAGAGCATTTCTTGCTGATTGGCTGTTGGGATTTAACTTGATTAACACCTGCACAGAGCATTTCCATACTGACAGTATGTCTTTATTCAAGTGTTTTGGTAGGTATTTCAAGCTTTTCTGCTCCAGCATTGGAATGCGGGGCATGAACGTTTTTTTATTCATTTTGAAAATCAACAGTTTGCATAATTATGCAATTAAAAATCCTAACCAATAAAGTAGGGAATAGCTATCCAACTGTTGTTTTAGTTGTATGTTACTTCATATTATAGTTATATCAATGTAAATCATTGTTTTCCCTTGTGTTTCTCATTCTTTCCCTGCCATGTCGTAAAATGTGGTGAACCCATCGCTGTATTTGCTCCAAAGCAAATATTGGCCTTTCTAGTTTGAAACTGTTTTCTTACATAATTTTCCATTGTTTGAAAAGTCTCTTTCAAAATCACCTGAAAACACGGCTGTCACGTTGTTGTTTTTATGTCATTGTTAGGGTTCGACGCTAATCCCCATTTAATTATCTATTGTTCAAAACAATAATTATTGATGGTATCTGAGGGGGTCCAACCTTAGGTGTCATGAAGGAATCTACAGCAGTTCTCTTTGGAGTCTCTTCTAATGGGGACAGATCTCTTTCAGCTCTCTTTTAGTCTTGTCTTTTGTGATGAGATCTCAATTGTCCTCTAGAGTATACTCAAAGAGATATATCCCTCTACTAGTGATTAGTGATACACATATACAAGAATGCATTTTAGAAAGGCTGCATGTAACACAACATCATACAACAAGAACTCATTGTGACACAGTACATGACCATGCAGGGCTCCAAATTCATGTTTGGGAATAGGTGCACTGAATACGATAAAAATGAAGAGGCGAACCTGAGACCAACAAATTAAATTGGTGTGGCCTAAGGTGGAGATATTCACCTTCCTTCTGTGCCTGTCTCCCTGTCAGGTAAGTTATCCTCCTTCAGGGACCCTCCAGGACCTGACATGTCCTGCTGTACAGGTGTACAGGACACACGGAACGCTGCCTCCCAGAAGTCTTCATGTAAAACATCTACATCTCCATTTCTGGCAAAATATAGATATCAAAAACATTCTAAAAAGCAATGCCATGCTTTATCATAAGACTTTATAAACATTAATGAGTAAGTTTCTATTTTATTGCATTTGGTAAATGACAAGAATTGCAAACTACTTGTCTTGTGTTATTTGGAAGTTACAATGTACTTACTAGTGCATAAAAATGCTGTAAGTTTAAACTGTAATTTCCAACACAAGAAATGGGAGATACCCCTGCATTTTCGACTGTACAACTCCAGTAATGTCAAGGAAGGCACAGAGGATTAAAGAGGCCATCTACATCCGGGCACTACAACATTCCCTAAAAAAAAATGGGGGGTGCCACAGACTTTCTGTAAATGCACTGCTCACCGAGTCATGTTTGTGATCTGCATAACAAAATTAGACATCACGGAAGCGATGGATTGTTCATTCCTTGACAAAGACTAGAGTAGTACTGTCCAAAATTTGGTTAAGCCCAATTTCTTGTGTTGAAAATTTAAACTTATGGCATAAATAAGAATTGAGCAGAATAATTCTGACAGACTGTTGTACCTCTGTATGATGAACTCCCTGGCAGGGTCGATGAGGTTACCTTTGTTGACCCATCCATCAATCATCTCTAAGTACGGACGTAATGTGTGGATCCAGAGGGGCAACAACAACTGTAGCTGGACAGATACACAACAAGAAACATGCTTATACATGTTGGTAACGTTCTAATTTCCCACATTTTAAGAGGCAAATCACGTGGTCAAAGAAAAGCGCTGTTCCCAAAAATCTGCCTGTCAAAACATGAAAAATTAAAAATTAATATTGGAAATATTGGTTAATTGTCACATGTTGTTGTTTAAGCCCTGGTCACAACCCGCCGTACATGCTTTTTGTCCGTACGTTTTTTGTGAGGCTACGTCTGCTACGTTTTTCTGAAAACATGGGGAAGGAGTGGCATCGACGCACGTCACTCGCATGGTTGTGCAAGGTGTAAGAGTGTGGTCTGCACGCCACATCTGGCCGTGAGCGGTTGCGTGCATCGTATGTTGCGCAAGTGGTGAGTTGTACGTGATTACAACGTACGATCTCTGTGCGATTGCAACTTAATCGTAAGGAGGCGGTACTCACACGTGCGTCTTATGTACGGTACGTACGGGGCACGCGTGTCGCCCATACGCACGGGTGGTGAATCCGCAGACCGCACACAGAAAAAGTTTTACATGCACTTAAATAATTATATAAAGTTCTTCAGCGTGTCTGCGGGCTCCCAAATCCGTAGGATTCCGTATGGAGGTGGTACTCATTACGCACGGATGCCCTACGTTTGCCCACGTTTTTTCACGTAGACAGCACGCAGAAGCATGTACGGCGGGTTGTGACCAGGGCTTTACTTCTCACAGGAACATATTTTTTCTCTTTTATTAATTCCTTACCCATGCATACAAACAATTTCGACACACAAAACATACATGAGTATATTCTGTGGAATGACTCTACATATGTTGAATGGCATGTACCTTTGTGTTTGCAGCATCTCCCAGAGTGTTGAAGTGTAGAATGTTCTGGTACAGAACTGACAGCAGTCTGGAGGCCTTCAGGACATCAGTGGTCTTGTCTGTGGAGGGAGTGACCACACCCAGCTGGTACACTGCATACATCATCTCTAACTGTGTGGGAGCAAATACAGCATATTTCACTCCATCTTCCTCCCAATTCTAAAATGGTCACTGTTCCAAATAATATCAACCTTTTGCATCCAGTACCAAGTGTTTCTCAATATCCCCAGAGATGTCCACAATATATAAAATATTACATAGTATTACTGAAATGTGGTAGAAAGTTTTTTTGTTCTGCAATATCAAAAAAATTATACTTTCTACACACTTAAAAGTCCAGATCTAAACCCATGACACATACAAAATTGCATATATATTGGCAAACATTTTAGTCATGCAATTTGAAAAATACATGCAAGATTACTTGACAAATTGTCTAAATTCAAGGCTGTTCAACTATATGTAACTCATCTATGATATACCTTGAATGTATATCATAGATGAGTCACATATAGTTGAACAGCCTTGAATTTTGGGAAATTACATGTTTGTTGGACTTTTCAACTGAGATTTTATGTCTAGAATTTTGCAGCACACATACATGTAGTGTTCATGTCTACATGATGTATGTAGATCATGTTGCAGTACTCACTTCTTCAAACTGCTGTTGGAGTGTCTCCATCATGGTGGACAAGGTAACCAGCTCATCTGTGGAGAATACCAAGTTGAACATGTCCTGATTAACTCACTAAAAGATTAGAAACTGTTTGAAAATCAAAGATTGACATTTTGACATGCTACCAACAAGACAATAATTGTTAATGGACTCCAAACCATACTTTTTTGCACGAGAGATTGAAGAGGCCATCTACATGAAGACATGTACATCTGGACACTATGTAACCTTCCCTCAATAAAGACGGGGGTGTCACAGACTTTCTGCTCACCGAGTCACTAATGTGTTATCTGCATAACGTGACATCACAGAAGCAGTGGATTTCACTTCACTTCACTTTATTTATTTATACTGTTATACAGGAAATTGCGCTCAGGTCATTTGACCTGCTTTTCAGACAATCCTGTTTTTTAAAAACAACGCAATACATTCACAAATCACAATAACAACAGTAACAATATACAGTTATTCTGGCGGATGCAATTTACATATCATGCATCTTTGTTAAGTGATGCTTGTTCATTCCAAAATTAAGACCGGAGTTGTACAGTCGAAAATCTGAGTAACTATACAATTTATTACTAAGTCCAATTTCTTGTGTTGGAAATTACAGTTTAAACTTACGGCATAATGACATCTACCAACAGATGAACTTTCTGTATTCATTTATAAGATCTTACCTGTAATAGCTAAACTCTGTACTCTTGTTACCTGGACGACACCCATGTTTTGTGATGTAATTTTTATTTTATGTCTAGTGGTGACGTGAATATTATGTATTCGCTTGAGTGCGTTACCACTACATGTATATATAATTGCATTTTTGCATGTTGCAATAAAAAAAAAGATTAACTTTCAAGGCAAGACAATTCCCTGGATCTGTCCCTGAGCAAAAAATGTCCCAAAACGTCAGCCCCATAATTCTACATCAAGAAACAAACCTTGTGAAACCAGTCTTCTCTCCAGAGTAGCCAGGTTCCTGTTGAAGTCTTGCAGACATGTGAGTAGTGCTGATGTGAAGGCCTGGTGTGTACGGCTCACTGGAGCACTGGTCTCACCACAGAACGATCGTGTGATCACACTGTCTATCATGTGATGTAGGGCGTGTGTGATGTTACCATAGCAGGCTATCTTCTGTAGTATACTCTGTAAGGCGTCCTGCAAAATAAGAAAACTAGAGTTCCACGACCACATACCTTCGCCAAATGATGTTAATTTTTATGACTAAAGGGGCCCAATCTTATGTCACTTCTTCCCCAGCACAAGAGCTACCTACCATCCAAATTTCGTCACCCCAGCATGTCTAGATCATGAGATATCAAAACCGGATGTTCAGCTGCAGTACCATAACAAGCCGCTAGGGGGTCCAAAATCTAATCATTTCCAGGTCTCATCAAGACCTACCCACCTACCAAATATCAAGTCAATCTATTTAAACCTTCTCAAGTTATCGTGTTTACAGACACACACACACACACACACACACACACACACACACACACACACACAAACGCCCCTGAAAACATAACCTTCTTGGCGAAGGTAATTAACAGTACAGTTACTGTGCTGTGCTGTACATGTACACTACACAATGTATACAAAGTTTTGTTTCTTGCCTGCCAGCTTTCCATGCTCATCCAAACGTTCCTTAAATCAAAAAGCAGTTACTTAAGCAACAGTTACTGGATATGATTTTGGAAATGGTCACTGACAGATGTTTCAGCTAGTATCAACTAGCTTTCGTCAGTGACTGAAAGACCAGAGGAGAAATGCAGGTTTATAAGCACAAACTATGGACTAATATGCAAATAAGTGAAGACAATTTTTGGGAAGTCCAAAAAGAAAACAAAAGTTAGACAAGTCAAGACAAGATGATGCAAAAATCCAGTGCTTGTCGAATGAGTAACTGCTTTTTGGCGTATCTTATTACCTGGATGTCTAACCTTCATCGACGTACACATCTACATGTAGACTAAAACAAATACATTGTACATCTTTTGTGAAACATAGTAAGTGTAGTGGGAAAGTGAAAAAAGCAATGATGAGGTCTGTGATTTGGCTCATATCTAGCTGTAAAAAGTGGTGACAGCATTTTAACTTTTAATAGCTTAAATAGAGGCTGGGTAAAAACTCAACTGGAAATCCCACTGTGCTGGTTGAAAACATTTTCTTGCTTGTTTTAGCTGTGACTTGGTTGGAGAAATGCTTTAAGAAAATATGATGGTAGCTACTCGTAGCTTAGATTTAGATTTTCATAATTAATGACTGTAATTCATTAGGCTTGCTTCTAGCTCCAGTTAGAAAGGCATGTAGAGTTTGTATCATGAATTTGTTCTTGTTGAACTTAGTGGGGAACCTTAACCAAATTACGTGGATAGGACAATTATATTTTTCTGAGGGTGCGCCTAGATTTTTGCTGGTGCGCCCAATTGTTTTGGGTTGGGAGCACAGTGCTCCTAGGTCCAAAAGTTAGTCTGGAGCCCAGGTAGTGAGTGTAATGACATAACTTGGTGTACTTACAGGAGTGATGTGGGACACCTTGATGTTGTTGATGAGAAGGAGTTTCTGCTCCCTGTACTTGTAGAGAAAAGACTGCTGACAGCCCCCCAACACCCACACACTCTCCCTGGCAGCCTGGGTCTCAGTCAGACCTGTCCTGTCTGCAGGTTTGTAGAACGGATCACTGCTGTACTGATGCAGCTCCCTGTGGACAGGCAGCAAGTCAACTAACAACTAGAGAAGTACTTATCATGTAAGTTCATCTGTGTTGGTAGTTACATGTTTAGAGTTAAAACCAACACAAAAAAGTTTTCTTAACTAGAGACACTGTAAGGATTTTGGACACTGAACAAGACTATTTCCTGAGAGGGGTGAAGGAGGCCATATACATCAGGGCCCATCACCCTACATTGAACCGCGACGGGGGCCGACATCGTCTACCAGATACCTTTGACCCAGTGTTGACGTGACGTCACACTTCAACACTGAAAGTGCCATGTGACAAGCCTCACTGGGTCAGTCTACTGAGGAATGCCCCCCCCCCCAAATCATGCCCACTTGGCTTGCACCACTGTATACGGCAGATGCTTTTTCATTTTAGGTATTAATGGCTATTACTAGTATCAGTTAACTAAAGGCTGTTAGAAATATTGTCAAAGGCTTATGTATGTAACATTACTTAATTTGAGGAAAGTAGTAACTTATAGTTGGGCCGCAACCTGAGATTCTGATGGGCAACTAATGGAGATCCTAAACAAACTAGAGAGGCCGACATTTGCTTGGGAGCAAATACAGCATATTTCAGTCCATCTCCCTCCCACGCAAAAGTGGACTATTCCAAACTGGCAAAGATTCTCAAATAAATGAGTTATATAGTAGCCATGTAATTGAGAACTGAAAGATGCAAGAACAAGCACATTGAATCTCGAAAGCTTTACTAATCTTCTTACAGGTATGCAAATACTAACAATGATGAGATTTGATACATTTTGAAGGTCTTAGGCACATGAAGTTGAATGTGTGGGTCATTACGCACGACTTACGTACAATGTGACCTCAGGTAACCCGCAATGGAACACGTGTTCCATGGCCAAGGGCAGATGGAATGTGCCATTCTTTAGATAGAACATGGAACGGGTATAGCACTTTTGGCCCTTTTTTTGCTGAAAATAGCCATTAAAGTCCCCCAAATGAGTCATTTGGAAGTGGTGTATGCCAAATATGTGACTGTTGTTCTGTAGACACATGCTCAAGGTACCCTTATACCGAATTTCAGATCATTTGGTTGTAAAACCAGGGCTCAGGATCCAAAAATCCATTTTTTGGCGAAAAATGCCCCAAAAAACCTCCATAAAAATTTTTCAAAGGCATGTATCAAAAAAATGAAAAAAACGCCTGGGGGTATTGGCGCACTCTACCTCCATGCCAAATTTCAAGTCATTTGGCTGAATGATGGCGGAGTTGAATCCCTCTGACTGTCTGGCAGGAGGAGGAGAAGGAGAAGGAGGAGAAGAAGAAACATCAGAGAACACAATATATTTCATCCATACCATGGTATGGACTGAAATATAACAAACAAACAAACAGAAGCGATGCCCTACCAGACGTTAGTGAGGTTGGCAGCGTGATGAGTGTTTGTCAGCTCCATGGTTTGAGGTCGTTCACCCCAGTACTGCACCATAACGTTGTTCTTCAACCAATCAGCTTTCGGCAACCAGCTTTGGTCTGTGCACTGACATATAAAAAAAGCTTATAGAACATCTATTAGAAATACATGACATTGTACAGTGTACATTGTATATTGTATATACCAACAGATTTTTTTTTTCACTACGCCACACCAATTCAATTTCTTGGTTAACGGATTTGCCCGATTCATGTTTTTCTGATTTGCAAAATAAAATCGGAATCAACTGCAAAATGCTCATATTTTACCCTGAACAGTTGAAAACAGTCCTTTTCTTCCTAGTTGTTACAGTTATTCCATCTTTCAATGCAATCATGGTATTATTTAAAATTTTCAAATTCAAAATTGTTAAAATTTTGAACCAGCCTGGTGTGTTGACTTCATGGCTCCTCTCATACCATTTTGGGCCATAATAGGATGCCTAGGCCTGTTTTTATTTTTATTTTTATTTGCCCGCCCGCTCCATTATTTTTCTAGAAAAATCCGTTAACCAAGAAATTAAATTGGTGTGGCCTTGGTGTTGATGTGCTAAAATGGTAACATGAATAAGGATTAACTTTTTCTATCCTAACTACCTGCACAAAGTCCCTTCTGACCGTGTCCAGCTGCTGACTGTTGGACAGGGAACCTGGTGAGTCATCGTCAGAACTGGTCCTACTGTCATCATCATCATCATCATCATCAGACCAGGGCTGCAGGCAATGATAAAAATGTAATACAAGAAACCAGTCAGGGCTCTAGCCAGCTCCAATTTTTTTCCGCCAGACCAGATTTTTAAGCCTTCAAAAACACAATTTCCCGGATTTTGAGAGGCAAATCATGGGGTTGAGAGTCCTTAATTCAAATGTTTGCATATTTTGACCGAAGATTTTGTTGATTTTGTTCGTTAAGGTTGATGGATTGGCTTGAAAACTTTTTCCACCACACTGATCAAATTTCCGGTAATTGACGGAAAAACAGGTGCTGGCTTGAGCCCTGCAATATACATACATTATATCATGCAGGACGTACTACACGTATCATACAGTTATATACTATACAGTATCATATACAATACAGTTCCACTGGTAGAGTAACAGCCCTCTTTCCCAAACTTGCTATATACATAATCATGGGGATTACATTAAATGCAAAATTTTTCAGAAGAGCATGAAAAAATCTTACTAGTTAAGTATTCAGTTGGAGAACAGTTTAATTCATCATGTAATTTACCAACTGAGATGAACTTTCATCATGTCATGTATACAATCATCATGTTTGTCAATGGTTTCATAAAAATTAGACTTTTACAAAATCGGCTCATCAAATTATATTTACTAGAATCATATTTACTTACTGGTGTTTCAGGAAATGGTCCTGTATCTATGTCTATTCCCTCCATCAAGTAGCTAGGCCAATCAAATAAATCTGGTTCTTCTGTAAATACATGAAGAAACAAGCCCAATGTGAATTAAGTCTTAAGACCACACCAATTTAATTTGTTGGTTCTCGGATTTGCCTCATTTTTTTTCTGATTTGCAAAAGAAAAAAAGATTCTGGGTCTGAATCAGCTCAAAAGTGCTTATATTTTGCCCCAAACCATTGAGGAAAGTCCTTTTCTTCCTAATTGTTACAGTTTTTCCATCTATCAATGCAGTGGTTTGATTAAAAGTTCAAAATTCATTGTTTAAATATTAATCCAGCCTTTTATGTTGAGGTCATGGCTCCTATCATTGCATTTGGGGCTATAATACTAGGATGCCTAGACCTGGTTTTTTTTCGCCCTGTCGCTGATAACCAACAAATTAAATTGGTGTGGCCTAAACTAACATTTGCAAAGTGAATGCATAATGTTTACCTTCAATGGTCTGGCCTAACAAACTACTGCTCTAATTGTTCTTACTCAAACGCATCCATAATGTAATGGTAACACAACCATGTATATATGTAGCCCCTCCAACTTTCTCCTGCAACTTGCAACATAATGTAATCCAACACCAAAGTGTCTGCTACCAGTTACCATGGTGACAGACATACATGTATGGTCCAGGTCATTGACATGATGTGTTTGGAGAAAAAGAAACAGGGCAAAAGCAATATGTCCTTCTGCAAAAGTAAACATAAAAGGAAAATATATATCTAGATTGTCAGATAACGTACCATTTGAAAGTTATAATCTGTAATTTTACATGACCTGGGTTCTTTTCTAAAAATTATCTGTCTACTTAAAGGCATCCAATGCAATTTCAGGGTGGTAAACTAGATTTTCGAGGTCAATTTTCTGGTCCTTCTTTCAATCCCATAGCAAAAATGTGATGTCACTGACAAAAAATGGTCGCTTGTTTTATATCATAATGCTATTTTCTTTAATTTTAAGCAGTAAAATATAAAGAGGCATCTCATGTACATGTATTTCATACTATATCAAAGTTCAAATGCTTCAAATACAAAATGATGAGAAGAAAAATGTGCTAAGAAATGGCACTTAATGCTAATATCAGACAGATTTCCTCAATGACATCTAGAATATTTTTGTTTTACCATCTTGAAATTGCATTGGATGCCTTTAATATTTATATGATGACATGTATACATGCTGTACCTTGTGGGTGGGCTGAGACTGGCTGTTGATAGTCCAGACTGGTGGGTGTCTCAGATAGAGACAACAGCAAGGACAACACAGAGTAGTGGGTGTCACTCTGAATCAAGGACAAAATACAAAATCAACTATTATAATAGCATTCCACCATCTCTTAGTATTACCAGGATTTCAGTAACTTAACAGAATAGAAGGCCACACCAATTTAATTTCTTGGTTAACGGATTCGCCCGCTTCATTTTTTTTCTGATTTGCAAAAAAATGTAAATTTGTAAATTCTGAATCAACTGCAAAATGCTCATATTTTGCCCTGAACAGTTGAAAACAGTCCTTTTCTTCCTAGTTGTTACAACTGTTATTTCATCTTTCAATGCAGACATTAAAAGTTCAAAATTCATTGTTTAAATTTTGAACCAGGCTGGTGTGTTGACTTCATACCATTTTGGGCCATAGTAGGATGACTAGGCCTGTTTTTGTTTTTTTTTCACCCGCCCGCTTCATTATTTTTCTAGAAAAATCTGTTAACCAAGAAATTAAATTGGTGTGGCCTAATGACCAATAATTCAAAATTACACAATGTAACCATTAGTCTATTTTAAGTATGGGTGTCAATAGGATGAAAGCCAGAGATCAAAGTCCCTTGTGGCCAAACAAAATAGAAAACAAGGATCCAAAACTTCAAAAGAGCCATGTTGTTAAAAAAACAAATCGTCAATATTATAGTCACTTGAAATTAGTTTTAATCATGATGACTGAGAAACTGAGTTTGTACAGCATTTTTGGAGACTCTCCGGCAAGCTTCCCAATTGCCCACCTCGGGCATCTCTATGTTTTATTTTTGTCTTTCTGTGCTTTTTCCAGAGCTGACATCATGGGGTGACATACATTGTAAGCTCAGGAAAAATACAGAAAAAAATTAAGGTAGAGATGCAAATAGTCTGCCAGGACTGGCTTGTGCTGACTTTTCAAAGACAGGGCATTGAAATTTCAAATGTAACAGGAGAACCGTGTCTATTTGTTGCAAATGTGTATGTTAGGCCACACCAATTTAATTGTTGCTTCTCGGATCGCCCTGTCCATTTTTTTCTGATTTGAAATACTCAATGAAAGACATATTTTGGCCCTAACAGTTAAAGAAAGTCCTTTTCTTCCTAGTTCTTAAAGTTTTTCAATGAAACAATGCAATTTTGTTTCATTAAAAGTTCAAAATCTATTGTTTTGATTATAAACCAGCCTGGTATGTTCACTTCATGGCTCATATTGCAACATTTCCGGCCTTGTTGAATTGGCCTGTTTTTTGTTTTTTTTCTCCTGTCGCTTCATATTTTTTCTGAAAAAATCCAAGAAACAACAAATTAAATTGGCGTGGCCTTAGCTGGCAATACTAGTTATGTCAGCTACCATCACTCAGATAAGGTTGTATTTTGGTGTCATGAGCACTTGAAAAGACAAGTATTATACTGTTCCAGTGCTAACCTTACTACATGGTTTCTCCTGGGTGATGGGCAGATCCAGTAGCTTCAACACTAGACTCTGCAGTATGTCAGCAGTGTCTGCCTTGGAGTGAACTATGTACTTGTCACACAAGCTGGAAATTCAAAGAAAACAATTAATACAAAATTTACGTGTACCATGGCAATGGGCTTACACTGAATAAATATAATTCCACCTATATGTACATGTACATCTATGAGAAATGTACACTGCCACATTTATAAATTACTCATCAAGAATCTCGAACTGAAACTCTTTGCATTGGTTGGTTGCTTTTGTATGTTGCTATGTATGACGTACCTGCATAGCAATTCTGACTTAAGAACCATGCCTAAATTTGTGTAGTATGCTTTTAGTTACAATATAAGTAGTATGATTTTAGTTACAATATAATCTTCATAGTTTTTATGGAAAGTAATGTGGTAACAAAAGACAGACTAAAAATGTCCAGATTATGCATTGATCCACAAAAATAACTACTAGTAATTAACTATCAACCACTATGGTAAGTACCTAACTATAACACCAGCTCAGAAAGAAACATTTATGCCTTCAAGTACCCAAGTTATTAACCATGGATTCAGGTGTTCAAAAATGCATTATTTCCTAGAACTATTGCAGAGTGGAACTCGCTGTCACCAAGTACAGAAGGGGCATTATCATTAGATAGCTTTTAAAAACAATGTTTAGAGTTAGATGTTCAAGGGTTAGGTGTAACAGGTCATTCAGTGTAATGTAGCCAGCTGCTGCCGCACCACGTGCCTGTGAAGATGGTGCGTTACGCTGAAGGGCAGTTATAACAGCTATACACACAGATACAGAAGCTGTCCTGGAACACTCACACTTACCCATCTATAATCCTATGAACCTTATGGCTGTCCACATCCAGATATCTATGAAATCTGAAAGAAGGAAACCAAGAAATAATTCATTGTGTAGCACCAACATTCATGTGCACAGTGCATGTATACTCCAGCCAGCCTACCCACCCCCATATGATGTTTTCAAAGTCTAGTCGTCTATGGTGGTAGAATAAGTTACAAAATATGAAATGAAACAACTGATAATTAGATCTGATGTTTTAGATAAGGTACCTTTGATCAGTGATTGAGAATCAACAAGTTTGTTTGCTTGTCTGACTTATGGTACCATTCTGGCTAAGTTAACAAAGTGTGCTTGCTATCATGGTCTAAGTATGGGGGACTATAATTTTTGTAAAAAAAAATTGAACTTTTTATAGCACAAAAAATCTATACAAAATGTCTGTTGTCTACCAATATACACAAACTTTAAAATATACATGCACAATTTACAAATTTACGTATAAATATCTTCAAAACTAATAAAATGTTGTTTCAATAATTCTGATGCATAAAACATACCTTAAAGGACCAGGTATGATATAATCTACATCATACTCACCTGAAGTTTGATGTGACAAATTCCAGACAGGTGCTGAAGTGCTCATCTCCTTCCTTTAGAAAGAAACAAGATTAAAGATTGAAATTTGGTTTATCATGCCTTCATATAGTTCGTTGTTACATTGTTAATTATATTGTATCATGTATCATTGGACAGCATGTAATTTACCTTTATAATACTAGAACACTATTTGTTAAAGATGTTTTGCATGTGCATGCTAGTAAGGCCACACCAACATCGATTCTTCGGTTCTCGGATTCACCTGCTTCATTTTTAAATCCAAAAAAAAAATATTCAGATTCTACATCAAGAAGTTGAAGAAAACATCCTAGTTGTTACACTCAATTTACCGTTTATCCATCTATTGCTTCATTGCTTTGTTACGAAAGTTAAGATTCATTGCTTTCAATTCAAAACAAGAAGCCATAGGCGACAATTCTCCGTGAAGTATTATATATTGCAACAAAAGAAGTAGCCATTGGCGACAATTCTCTGTGAAGTGTGATAAATCGAACAAAGAAAAATTGTTTAAACGCGCGTCGGCTCAGTCATCTTAAGACGCAACAACCAATCAGAGATGCGAGATGCCTACACGTGACGCGGGAAGGGCGCGCGATGCCCGAAATATTTTTGCGTCAATATTCAGCGCCGTGATTCAAGAGATTAATACCCGGAAACAATTTTTTTCTTGTTTTGAACGCATTAACATGCATTTACGCTAATCTAGTATGATTCAGGGTTACTTTTTTTTTAACCTGCCATGGCCAGATTATCTAAAGATGTGTGTATTGTGTGTACAATCTATAGAAAGAGAAATGTACATCAGGTCCGATCATCCGATTTTCACGTTTCGGTTTTTTGGACTCGGTTCATGAACGTATTTTGGTTTGGCTCCTGGAATGTAGCAAAAAAATGACTCCCGGGACTGTCTACAGGGAACACTCGCACATTCGCGGTGTATCAGGACAGCGCGACTGGTCGTCATTAGCGCAGTAACAGTTGCATAAACGGACGAAACCATTTCAAAGAAATGGGGATGTTTCGAAAATAAGCATTTACTCCAATATCAAAACAGCTACGGTAAAAATAAAAAGACGTGCATCATCCCGGACATAATGCAACACCACATGCGAAATTACACAGAAATGCGACGTACGGAAGAATGCGTTTTGGCTGCGAACATCTTCCAAAAAACTTGGCATCTCTTAACCATGGGCAAAAACATCTGGAACCACTTATAAAAACCACCCCGTATCTGCATGAACTTTTTTGAACCCCACTGCTATTCCAAACAACGCGTTTTTCTGGACCATTCCAATTCGCCTCGTAATTGTAGGGGTGCGTCTGCGATATTACATTGACCGCGAAAGCAGCAACGGCAAAAATACACATTCGTGCATCAACACGGGCATGCCCGCGGACGGCGTATAAAATTGCGTGCCGATTACACAAAGAGAACCCAGTGTTTTGACTGCGAACATGAAAAATCAGCCGATTACAACACTCCGTCCGGAGGTCCTGACCTCCTTCACGGAGTAATTATATCTGATTTTCTTTTGGGGTCCGCGCGGACCCCAGCTGGCTTTCGATCATAATGGATACACTGGCGTTCTTATACATTACTTTATTTCCGTTTTTATATGTTTTTATGCACTCATCGTATGTCTACCAAGTTTTCAGAGAATGGTGTAGTAATAGAATTAAATTTTAATAACTTTGGTGTAATTATGACGTCATATGACGTCAGAGCTAATAATATAGTCCGCCATATTGGATTTTGACCAATGACGTCATCAAATTAGCATATTCTGTGCATATTAAAATATTTAAACTTATATTTAATTATGTAAGATGTTATTAATGTTGGAAAATTAGTGTAATTTAATATAAAACTCAGAAAATTTTTATGTTTAAACCAAA